AAGGAAGGCGGGAAAGATGCTAATTTGAATTTTGAACCCACCCATTTCCCAAATTAATATGGAGTGGAAGATGGCTGGGCATGTTGTGCAGAGAAGGGCTCTCTGCAATCTGTCAAGCCACATATAAAACATTGGCCAGTCAGATCCCATGGTTTACAATTCCAAATCCACCCACCTTCTATCTCCAGGGAGAGCTTGCCACATCCCTTTTTGCATCAGTTGCGCTGGTAATAGTACATTAAGAGATGGACCACCCTTTGACATTGGCCTGTAAGGCATGGGCCTTGTCAGTCTGTGCCTCCTTCCCACTTATATAAAGGTATCTATAGACCTCTGGGTCCCTTTCAACTCTCTTTTGCCTACAGGAACTGGTAGAGCCTGAAAAAGGAAAAGTATCTGTGAATGAACATGGGTTTGTTCCCATTTAAATTTAAAGGGGGGCTGGGGTAGCCTTTATAGTTGCTAGCGCATGGAATAGAGGCAGGATATACTATGTGGCATAGGATCAGGGTCCTGATATCGCAATTCAAAGTTAGCAGTAAAACAAGAGATGAGAGCTCCCTGGACAGAAAGGGAATGGAGTAGTTAGATAAAAAGGATAAAAGCACAGATGGGCCTTTAAGGAACGCTCTGCCACTAGAGAGCCTGAGGCCCAAAACAGTAGAAAATACTCTAAAGGTGAAACTGGGGCATCAGTGTCAGGGAGGTCGGGACCTCGCCCTGTCCCAGCCGAGCAGTAGGCACCCCCCATCTAATACACTAACCCCCCATCTAATAGTTGGCATTGTCACGAATGCACCCTTCTCCAAGAGTGTGCGTGACATAGTTGTGGAGGTGAAAGGGTTAATGTTCACTATTTGTCTGCACTAGACCGGATATAATGATAAAATCCCTCTTAACACCACCCTTCATTAAGCATAATAATATAAATATTACTATTTTAATGCTGCCACCACCAAGACAAATTTATAAATGGGGTTCCTTGGTCCCCCAGGAAAGTTAATACTAAAAACCCACCAAATACAACTTAGCACAATACCTATGCAATTGCAAATTAGTCTCTTCAGGTAACGTGATTCTTAACCAGACAAAGGCAGAACTTAATAAAGGAATATTTATTATGAGCAAAAAATGGTCACAGTGCATACAAATATATAGATGACAATCAAATTATTTACACCAACAACAGATAAAAACAAAAGGGATAAAATAACAGGAGTCCTAATCACTTACTCCTTAGGTTTTTAAAGTAAAGCCCAGGGTGTCTCTGGCAAGGAAGATGGTGACTCACTCAAAATTAGATTTTGGACCCAAGCAAGTACAATATACCGTATTTTTCGCACCATAAGACGCACCTCACCATAAGACGCACCTAGTTTTTAGAGGAGGAAACCCAGAAAAAAAAATATTCTGAACAAACTGTTCCATAGTGTTTCTTACCATGGGACAGTTTGTTCAGAATATTTTTTTTTCTCCCCTGTCCCATAATGATCTTTAACCCCCCTTTCCTCTGTCCCATAGTGATTGTTAACCCCTCCTACCCTGTCCCATAGTGATTGTTAACCCCTCCTACCCTGTCCCATAGTGATTGTTAACCCCTCCTACCCTGTCCCATAGTGTTCTTTAACCCCTCCTCCCCTTGTCCATTAGTGTTCTGATCCCATAGTGTCCCCCCCCTCCCATTGTCCCATAGTGCACTTTCCCTCCCATAGTGTCCCCCCCTGCCCTTGTCCCATAGTGTCTCCCCCTCCCCTTGTCCCATAGTGTCCCCCCTCCCCTTGTCCCATAGTGTCTCCCCTCCCTTTCTCCCATAGTGTCCCCCTCCCCTTGTCCCATAGTGTCTCCTCCCCTCCCCTTGTCCCATAGTGTCTCCTCCCCTCCCCTTGTCCCATAGTGTCTCCCCTCCCTTTCTCCCATAGTGTCCCCCTCCCCTTGTCCCATAGTGTCTCCCCCCCTCCCCTTGTCCCATAGTGTCTCCTCCCCTCCCATAGTTCTCCCATAGTGTCCCCCTCCCATAGTGTCTCCCCCTCCCCTTGTCCCATAATTACTTACCTGTCTTGGAGCGTGGGCCGGCTTCACAGCGCGCTCCGCGGTCCAGGAACTAATATTTCAGGTTCCGGTTTCCGGCGGGACTGAAAGGAAGTGTGCACACTCAGTGTGCACACTTCCTTTCAGTCCCGCCGGAAACCGGAACCTGAAATAGAAGTTCCTGGACCGCGGAGCGCGCTGTGAAGCCGGCCCACGCTCCAAGACAGGTAAGTAATTCTTCACATTCGCTCCATAAGACGCACAGACATTTCCCCTCACTTTTGAGGGGAAAAAAAGTGCGTCTTATGGAGCGAAAAATACGGTACATCTCAGTATCATTGGATATATACCCTGTGGATTACCAAGCCTGGTCCAAAGGTGGAGATAAGGCGTACCTATAGAGACAATTAGTGACCACCCCCTTGTGTTCCAGATCAACATCAATCCAGATAGAAACATTTTCTTCTATCTCCTCTTTTGTACTTGCCACAAAAATAATAATTGCATCTATGAACGTGTTACCATTTTTCCTTTCCATAGAAATTTCACACTTCTTACTTGTGACCCAATATAGTGGACATCACAATCCTGCCCAACAGCGTAAGTTAGGCAACTCATGTCTAGGCTTGATTAGAAAACTGTGCTTGTCTCATTCTAAATATAATAAAAAGGAGGCTTAATTATTATTCTGTGGGTAAGTATTAATGTTTCTTTTGGATATGATACTGGAACTCAAGAGTTTTCTTGAAGGCTAATGATCATTAACATATCAAAGAAATTAACTCATCAATTAAGAGGTACAGGCCATATGGTTGAAATCAGTTAGTTTAAATTGGAACTAGACATCCAGGCATCTCAAGTGTAGAATTTCACACCTTGCAGAGCCTTTGATTAATCAAAGGATCAATCCATGTTGTAAATCATCTGCCCCCTTTCACATTCCTATACAATTTACATTACCCCTTCTGTCATCTGACCTCTACCAAGTGGCCAATTCATATGTGCACTACACAAATTACATTAAATGGCAATATTCTATTATGCAACAATGAATTATGCACCCTTGGCATGACAGGGCCACTTCCAATGGTCGCAGCTATAGCTGTAAATCAAATCTGGTAAGTTAACAGTATAACATATGTTAAGAATGTATTACTCACAATCTATGAACCTTACTACATAGGGTAGCCCAACCCATTTCCTCTCAGGGACACAGGACGCAAGGTCCATCTGGGATAGGCTCAGAAACTGCACAATCTGTCACATATCCAGGATCACACCCCCGGGACCCAGGCACAAGTATCAAGTAGAATCAAAGATTTTGAAATATATCGGAGCGCTAAATAAAATCTCTTTAAATGCTCAGGGGTCTTGTAATGTGTCTTAATTAGATCTGAAACAACCCAATATGGGAAATATGTACTACTGTCGCTACAACACTTTGATATGTACCCTTCACCACATCAAAAATGCAATAAACAAAATAAAACAAAAAGTGGAGCGATGTTTAGGCTACTGTCGCTACAACACTTTGATAGACAAGTATCAAGTAGGCCCAGCATAGCAGCCCCAGGGGTTTGCCCATAGTAGTGGTCTTATTCCGTGGAATAATGTACAGTATGAAAACCTGTTCAACCTGATAGTCTGCCTCACCTTGTGGTCTACCACATGCTTCTCTATGTCCAGAATTCCCCTGTAGTTGGTCTAGCCCATGTCCCTTCCTTCCCTCTATCTGTCCCTTGTCTATCTGTCTCCCTAATCTGACCCCCTCTTCCTATGTCAACCTCAACTCTACCCTCGCAGTCTCCTGTATGGGTGTGAGTTGTGTGTTCTCTATGACATGATGTTGACTCTTCTTCTTCCTAGCATGTGGGACTGTCCATGGTAATTAGATCTTGTATAGGATATTCACTTAGCTTCCCCAATTCGTATGGTTCTCTCACCCATCTACGGTAGGTTTAGCCAGTTAGCAGGTCGGTAAATGAAGCATGGTTTTGTTTGGCCTAAGTCTGCCTAGTGATGTCCTGGGAGTGTGCAGAGGTTTCTAGCCACTGGTGACCCAGTCATCCCCCATCTCAAAATCATGCACACCCGGCATCGTTAAGGAGATCAGAACAGCAAAAAATATATAAATAAATATACAAAAAATAATCAAATACAAATACATATAGCCATAACATTTCTTATAGAACCTTTAGTTCTCCCTGTCATCGATTTCGCCCCTCCCTCTGTATGCCTTGTGGATGGGTGAAGGTTGAGTGTCTTATCTCCTAAGCCCCTCTTCCTCCATTCTCTGCATTTGGACAGTGATAGCGGGTAGATGTGGTCTCTGTGTGGTAATACTGGGAAAAAAAGGTAGGGAGTCATCAGGTTGTATAAAGCCCTAGTTAGACCCTCAATGTTTTATTAGTCGTTAAGGTGTATCATAGTCCATGGGTCGTAGGGCTTGGTCTATGGTTGATGTGTTAGCAAGAAGTCCCAGAAGGCCTGATTGCTTGCTGGTGTCCTCTCCGTGGTCGATGTGGAAGTGCTGGCATGGGTATGGTGGTCTGGGTTGGTTATAGAGGTCCACCACCATGGTATCTGCTGAGCTCCGTGAGTTCCCCCTGCGTGCTAAGAACGGGCAGACTGGAGTGAATACCATTAGCCTAGTAGGCATTTGCCATCTGTACTTTATTTTCTGCGTTACCAGCACCCTAGTCAGTGACTTCATGGCTTTTTAGTAATTTAAAGTGGCAGGTGACCGGTTAGGGTACAGCTGAATCACATGCTCGTGGTAGGTTACTTCTTGCCTGTCTCTGACTTGTTGAAGGAAATCTTACTTAGTGGTAAAGTTGGCCAAACAGCAAATAACAGCTCTAGGGGGGCTATCCGAGGGAACCCTTTGGTTGGAGAGTGTGATGTGCCCTCTCAAATTCTATTGGAGCCTGGTAATCCCGGCCTAGGAGTGTGTTACAAATTTCCCTGAGGCAGACCTTTAGTTGGTCTAGGGATTCGTCTGTTACATTGCCCCCTATTATCAAGATCTTCTATTTTGAAGGCCATTCCTCGCATTTTGTCTGAGTGGGTGTCCAGGGTGTCAGTGTTACCTGGTTCACTTTCATGGTGTCAAATTCCCCCTCCACCTGGCCCATGCAGTCAGTGAGGCCTTGGAAGTTGGCCCTCAGGACCTGGATAGTGCATAGAATGTTATTATATAACTTTATGGTTTAATTGGTTGTGTGGTAACATTGTGAGGATGCATAAGGTGTGTTATTGCTGTTAATATTTCTACACTGTTCTAAGTTGTAATTACTTAGTTGCAAATTACTTAGTTGCAAATTTACTGATGTACCCTTTCATTCTTCATCCTATTGGAATCTTCATCATTTACATTTACTTACAATTACTTACAATTCCTGAATTTTTACATTTCGACTTTTTCTATTTCCAGTTCTCTTTAGAGGGAGATACATTGGGAGTCACCCTATTTACAGACTGCACTTAAAGCGGCACTGTCATGGCAGAGTCCAGATTTTTTTTTAACTCCCCCCCTCCCGACTCCACTACATCTAATTGCCCCCCTAGTCACCTCCAAATGCCCCTAAGCCCCCCTATTATGTATTTTTTAAATCTTTTTTTTTTGTGCCCGGACCTAGGTCCTGGGCGCCAGCATCTTCGTGTGGGCAGATGAAGTCCCTGTGGGACACATCATCTGCCCACACTAGACAGCGCTGTGAAATTTCCATGCATGCCCAGTTAAACACTTGGGCATACGCTATTGTCTGAAATAGGACTGGAATTTCATATATTCTTTTATTCGGCAGAAAGACGAAGGAACGAATAGTGTAGAAATTTCAGACAAACAAACACCATCGGTGTTCGTTTGTTAGTTGAGTTTATTACAAGGAGGGAGATACCGGCGCGCAGCTCCCTCCTTGTAATGTGTAAAAATAGAAGCGGCAGGGAGCCACTTGATGTCTTCTTTTTTCTAAAACCTTCTTTTTTCTAAAACCTTCTTTTTTCAGCCCCCAAAAATCCAAATAAAAATCCAAAATACCCATCAAACTTAAAAAAAACAAAAACATGCGAAAAAATAATCCATCTTCACCCAGCGAGGGCACCGCACAAACTAAACTCTACAGGGCAGGAAAGGCTTATAAAGCCTCCCCACACCCTGAAAATTTACTCAGAGCGCTTTGATTGGTTGGTTTAAGCCAACCAATAAGAGGGCTCTGATAGGTAAATTTGAGCCTTGCAAGTTACCAGTCAGGCAAGGCTCAAAATTTAGAGCACTCTTATTGGTTGGCATCAGAGTGCTCTGAGTCATTTTACACAGTGTGGGAAAATTCCAAAGAACTTTCCCACGCTGTGTAAAATGACTCAGAGCACTGTGATTAGTTGTACCCATGCACAACACAAGCGCATCTAATGATGAGTTTGCACTGTTTTGCCCGAGAGCAGCTCCCTGGTGTACCTAGATGTGGTTCATCAAGAAACTAAATTGGATTAATGGGATATGAGTTTGAAATTGCGACTGTCAGGACTGCATGATAAATCTTATTTACTCCCACAATTTCTGAGATGGAATTTGGGCACCCCTTTATTGCATGCAAAAGGACTCTGTTAGGGTAATTTAAGTTGAGGGGCCTGGACTGGGACTGTATACGGTCAGTTTTAGAAATCACCTAACTGCAATTAATCAATTTCCCCAAATCCTTGTATTGTATCTGTCATAAACCTGAGGTACAGGTTAATAGTCTTCTCCTTTACAAATAAATACTAAATACCTGATTTCGGTTTATATTCCCTCTTTTTTTAATGTGTTGATCTAGGTTCCTAAACTGCTATTGAGTGCTGTAGTGATTATGGTGGTTGGAGACCTCCGTCACCATCCTGTAGGAAACAATCAATAGCTTGAAACTTGCACCTGGCCCTCTCTACGTTAGTTCCGCCACTATGTAAGATGCAATAGCAGCATACATGCCATGTTTTTTTTTTTTTTTATCAAGTTATGAATTTATATGGGAAGGTAAAGGAAACGTTTTTTACATTTTAGTAATGTGATCTCCTGAAAAACACTCATGTGACACTGGATCAAAGTTTGTAAAATTTACTTATTTGTTTGTAAAGCTGTGTGTTACTTTAAGGACAAAATTATCATATTAGAAGCCATTTAGAAGTCTCACAAAGAAATGTAAATGATTTTAAAAGATGTGCCATATATTTCTCCCAGACCTTTGGGGGGAAAAACCCCTTGATGTAAAGTTTATGGTAGATATATATACTGTGATACTTTATTTTTACAATGTAAATCAGTAAGCAAGGAAAATATAGAAAATTCCAAATGCACATATACATATAAAAAATACATTACTTACTAGTCTATTTTCTGGTAAATAGAAAATATTTTGTAGTATAGTGCCACCTTGTGGGTAACCTAAGTTTGCAGCAGCCTAGGAAAAAATAAATTCCTATACATGGACATGTGAATGAAGCACAACCACTTAGTGTTGTACGGGGCCATTTGGAATCAGGGGCGTTCCTAGGGCATGTTGCACCCTACTACATTTTTCAAATGTGTTATATTTTTTACATTTAAAAAAAAAATTATTGAACAAATTTGTAAACTTTTTAAAACCCCTGCCCCTTCTACAAAATCCCTGCACCCCCTCACACACAGTTACAGGCAGACAGTCCCACACAGTTGCAGACAGTAACACATGTAGTCACAGGCAGTCATACACACAGTTACAGTTAGAGAGTTACACACAAACACAGTCAGTTACAAGCAGTTACACACAGTCACACACACTGTTACAGGCAGACAGTCACATATACAGTCACACATGTAGTCACAGGCAGTCATACACACAGTTACAGGTAGAGAGTTACACACAAACACAGTCAGTTACAAGCAGTTACACACAGTCACACACACTGTTACAGGCAGACAGTCACATATACAGTCACACACACGGTCACAGGCAGACAGTCATACACATAGTTACAGCCACAAACACACACAGTTACAGACAGTTATACACACAGTCAGTTACAGGCAGCCACGCACAAAGTTACATGCAGACAGTCACATGCAGACAGTAACACACAGTTACAGGCAGCATCACACAGTCACAGGCAGACTGTCACACACAGTCACAGACATTCACACACACACACACAGTTACAGGCATGCAGTCACACACACACACACACACACACACACATACACACACAGTTACAGGTAGATAGTTATGCACACACAGTTACAGGTAGACAGTTACGCACATACACACAGTTACAGGCAGACCATTACACACACACACAGTTACAGGTAGACAGTTACGCACGCACACACACACAGTTACAGGCAGACAGTTACACACACACACACACACACATATATTTACAGGCAGACAGTTATACACACACACAAGACAGACAGTCACATACACACACACACAGTTACAGACAGACAGCCACACACACACAGTTACAGACAGACAGTCTCACACACACACACACACACAGTTACATACAGACAGTTACACACACACACACACACACACACAGTTACAGACAGACAGTCTCACACACACATACAGTTTCAGGCAGACAGTTACACACACACACACACACACAGGGCCGGACTGGGAATTAAAAGCAGCCCTGGAAAAAAAATATTTACCAGCCCCATAATGCGTCGCGCCAGCATAGTGTGCAGATACAGAGTTAGAACAGATAACTTAAAATTAAAAAGTACTTCAACGTAAAAAGCGCACTCATAGGCTTCAAAATAAACAAAAGTGCAGATTTATTTTAAGCAGACGTGCCTTTGCATGTAATCAATGTTTCAGTCCAACTACCTTGACATATTAAGGAAAGCTTGTTAATGGGACTGAAATGGTGAATGTATGTAGGGCACAACTGTAAAAAATGTTTATTTTGAAGTCCTGTGGGTGTGCTCTTCACTTTAAATATGTTATTGTGCTGGAGTATGCACCTAGCAACAAGATTGGGCCAATATCTGCTCATTACATATGGTACATATTAATGAAATTTCTCTGTGTATTATGCATTTATAAATGTACATTAATATGTGTAGATATAATAACTAATACACACATTAATATACATGTCATATACTAGTGGCGGATCCGGAGCCTGAGCCTGAGAGGGGCACTTGTAGATTATTTAAAGAAATATTCCATGCACAATAACCACTACTCCTCTGTGTAGTGGTTATGGTGCCAGGAGCGTCGGCACCCCCTCCCAGAGTAAGTTGTCAAACCGTTTAAGAACAGTTTGACAACTTACCTGGAGTCTGCTGGGATATGGGGCTCGTAGTAGGGTATAGGAGCAGTGGTGCAATGTGTGTGAAAGGTTCAGTGTGTGGGTGGGCAGTGTGTAAATGTGTATGGTGTGTGTGTGTGGGGGCAGTGTGTGAATGTGTATGGTGTGTGTGTGGGGCAGTGTGTGTATGGGGCTAGAGTTCACTCCTACTACTGGGACCACCAGGAAGTGGTGAGAGTGAACTCTAGCCCGTAGCTCCAGGGCTAGAGTTCACCCTCGTGAGAGCCGGAGCGTTGCCCCAGGTCCTCTCTTCCTCCCCTGCCGACTGGCTGCACGGTGCCTGTGGAACGGGGAGGGAGATCGGCCGTGCCTTTTTGTCTCCCCCAGTCACTCTGTATGTTTCTTTCTCCCCCTCACTGCTCCTCTGTGTCAATGTCTCCCCTCTCCTTCCCAGTCTCTCTCTTCCCCTCTGCCTCTTTCTTCCCCTCCCCTTGTGTGTCTCTCTCTCATTTCTCCCTCTTTGTCTCTTTCTTCCCCCTCTGCCTCTTTCACCCCCTTTCCCTGTGTCTCTTCCTCCCCCCTTTCCCTGTGTCTCTCCCGATCTCTCTCCCTCCCCCCTTTCCCTGTGTCTCTCCCCTCCTCCCTCCCTCCCCCCTTTCCCTGTGTCTCTCCCCATCTCTCTCCCTCCCCCTTTCTGTGTCTCTCTCTCCCCCTTTTCCCTGTGTCTCTCCCTCCTCCTCCTTTCCCTGTGTCTCTCCCACACTTTCCCTCTCCCCTCCTCTCTCTTCCTCCCCCTTTTCCTGTGTCTCTCCCATCTCTCCTCCCCTTTCCCTGTGTTCCTCCCTCCTCCCTGCTCTCCCCTGTGTAGTGTCACACACACACACACACACAGTTACAGACACACACTTACAGGGCAGTTTCACAAACACACACACACACACACACAGTTTCACACACACACACACACACACACACACAGTTTCAGGCAGACAGTTACACACACACACACACACACACACAAACAGTTTCAGGCAGTTACACACACACACACACTGTTATACTTACAGACAGTGTGGGCTGGAGGAGTGGATTCCCTGGCCTGAAGTCCTTCCCTGGCTGGAGGTGGAGGTGCAGGGATTTCTGCTTGCAGCAGATGTGCAGCAGTTACAGCAGCTTGTAAGGGCCGTGTTAAACCCCGCCCCGCTCACGGTTAGGTTCGTCCCTAAATGGCCGTAGCTCCGCCCCTTCTTCCTCCCGTGCGGCCAGGTCATCTTGCTGGTCTCCGTGTGAGCTGTGTGACACCCCAGCTGCCATGGGGTACAGCACACACAGCCCCAAGACCAGGGTCAAGGCACCCTCCTACCAGGTGGCACCCGGGGCGGACCGCCCCCTCCGCCCCCCTCTTAGTCTGCCACTGTTTGGAATGCAATATGCATATGATAAAACAGCACAATTTTCCATTTAGATATGCAGGCTAGGTATGTTTGAGTATGATTCGAAGACTTGCCCAGACTTAACATGTAAGAGTATACTGAGCTAAGGAAATCAAGTTTGCTTAATTACACAGGAGTAAACAATGAAAACATATTGAGCAGGAACTGGTTAGGAATATACAATCTAGCTATACAAAAATCGTCTGCTCATAAGGCCAAGCTAAGAAAACATGTCTGACTGAGGTAAAGTGAAAGTGTAAAAACACGTAGGAGGATGCCGGCTATCTAGGTGCAAGTGCCCCGCTACAAACACATAAACATATACAGAAATTTGATTTCCCCACCACTTGCTTTATCTACGGGTTTCATGAGGAGCTATCTTTGCCAGAGATAGTGTTGTCACAGCTCTTCACCGAGGTCAGCCTATGCCCGCTGGGGCAGCACAGAGTCCAGCAATGAGAGTCCTATTGTCGGGCACTGCTACCCACTCAAGTGGAGATGTGCATTAGGTTGACACGTAAATTATGGGCCTAGTAAGGCCTGCTTGATTGTCATCATTGTTATCAGGATCCGGCGTGAAGAGGCATGTAGGCATCTCAGTAGCTTCAGTGCAGGCTTTGGTTGGAAGATGGATGTAGATGAGACTGGTGGTGTCTTGCGGTGGAGCATAGCCTGTGCCATTTGGTTTTGCATGTAGACTGCAGAAGTCGCCTTTGTCTGCTCCATCTTCCAGCTCATGTCATTTGGTAAACTGCACGTCCATGGCAGGAGCTCGCAGGCAGCACTGTGGGTGAGTACTCATCTGGTTTGTGTGCAAATTAGATTTCAGAGAAAAGGCAGTGTTTCAGTGTTTACATAACAGACTAGGGACACCTCAAGTGGCCACTGCTGCTGAACATTCCCAATAGAAATGCATTAATTAAATGCATCTCTATTAGAAGATTCTGATCCTGCTTGCCTGAGCTCATCGGAATTGACAATCTCATCCAATCCAATGCTTTCCTATGGGCAAGCATTGTGATTGGCTGATATTATCCATTCTGATGCACAAAGCACAAAGACTGGTGTTACCAGTTGAAACACTGCAGTATGCCTTGATCACTCAGTAAAGGGGCACATATACAAGAAGCATGTGCTGTGTCCTTTTTATGTTTTACTTACACCCTCACCTCTCGGTTAATCCCCACCCTGTCACTCAACCCCCACATTTAATAATATGTTAATAGCCCCAACATAACCTCAACTCCAATTTATATACACCCACCTCCATGTCACATATATCACCTCACCTACCAATCACCACCTATCCACTCTGTCATATTCATACAGACCACATTGTAACATGGCATGCCACCTACTGCACCCACCCAGTCTGACATTCCTATTCAGCTACAACTCTCACACTCCTTCCAACTACCCAGTCACCCATGTATTAACTTACCCAGCTCTACACAGAGTGCCTCTTACCAATTTACATACATTCACCCAGTCACACACTCCTACTCACTGTTGTGGATCCAAATAATGATCTTTGTTATATTCAGAGGAAGCCCAAATTATTATTACAAGTGCACTTGGAGAAGCGAGAATTAGACACCAGACACCTGTTGGTATTCAAAATAAGCCTCTGCCGTTTTATTCATCAGCTGGGTTTTATACATTAAAAAGTAAGTGCTTACGTGCAAATACTCATAGAACAGTAATAGGAAGAGAGTACAGATAAGACATAGGGATGAACGTCATGTACACATAACAAATAAGTTCCAAGGTAAGAAAAGAAATAAAAGATTAGAGAAGAGACATCTCAGGTGGGGGCTCTCTGCTCCCAGAACTATGCATATATAGCCTTAAGTGTTGTGTTAAGCATCAAGCATTTCCTGAGTCCAAGTTAGCCAATTTTAATATAGGATATCATTATATGAAACCTATAAGCTTGAGCCTTGGAATCAAGATAAATTCTATCACATCACCCAGACATAAGTCACATACCAAGTAGCCTACCACTGTCAATATATCCAGCAACATATGCACATTACACACAGTTTAATATTTACAGATTACATATGCTGTCACACTAATTACGTACACAATATTACACAGAGGGCGACTGAAATAATAATATAATGAATTGAAAGCTGATTTAAGAAATATAGGCAAAAATAGCCAAGCTTTGATTATAGCTAGATTTGAAATCGTTGCCAAATCAGCAAATGTTGAAGTTTGGATTTCAATGTACTACAATTCAATGTTTAATTAATAATCCCAACAGTTTATGCAGCCTTAGTCACACCTCCCTGCATGTAACGTGCACAGTCTTCCTAAACACTTCCTGTAAAGTGTCATCTAATGTTTACATTTCCTTTATTGCACAGTCTGCTTAATTTATAATTTATTATATCCTTTACTGTTAAAGGACCACTATAGTGCCAGGAAAACATACTCGTTTTCCTGGCACTATAGTGCCCTGAGGGTGCCCCCACCCTCAGGGACCCCCTCCCGCCCGGCTCTGGAAAAGGGTAAAACTTACCTTTTTCCAGCGCTGGGCGGGGAGCTCTCTGCCTCCGATCCTCCTCCGTTCCTCCCCGTTGGCTGAATGCGCACACTCGGCAAGAGCTGCGGCGCATTCAGCCGGTCTCATAGGAAAGCATTATCAATGCTTTCCTATGGACGCTTGGTGCTCTCACTGTGATTTTCACAGTGAGAATCACGCAAGCGCCTCTAGCAGCTGTCAATGAGACAGCCGCTAGAGGCTTTGGGGGAAGGCTTATCCCATTTATAAACATAGCAGTTTCTCTGAAACTGCTATGTTTGTAAAAAAATGGGTTAACCCTAGCTGGACCTGGCACCCAGACCACTTCATTAAGCTGAAGTGGTCTGAGTGCCTAGAGTGGTCCTTTAATAGCCTGCTACAATTTTGCAGGAGCCTTCTGTGTGTGATTACAATTCGATTAACAAAGCAGGAGATAAAAACTAGAGTAAATGAACATCTGATTGAAAATAAAACCATGTTTTATGACGGCTGTGTCAGTCACAGCCAGGGGAGGTGTAGATAGGGCTGCATGGACAGAAACAAAAGTGATTTAACTCCTAAATGGCAGAAAATTGAGCAGTGAGAATGCAGCTGCATGATTTATACACAAAAACCGCTTCATTAAGTTAAAGTTGTTGTGGTGACTATAATATGACTATAGTATACTATGGTGAATATAATATGACTATTGACGGTACCTGTCTCACCCCATCATTTTAAGATAGCTGTTTTGGTGTCACTTTTGATCTTGCCCTCACCTTTGCGCCTCATGTGAAGTCTGTTGCTAATATTGGTCGATTCCAACTTAAAAACATTGCCCGCATACGCCCCTTTTTTACGCAAGATGCTGCTAAGGAGCTTGTTCACGTTCTAGTAATCTCTTGCATCGATTACTGTAATTCTCTCTTAATTGATCTCCCCAGAAGCCGTACTGCCCCCTACAATCTGTGATGAATGCTGCTGCCAGGCTGATCTTTCTCTCCTGTTGCTCCTCTCACACCTGGCTTCCTGTCCTCTACAGGTGTCAATTTAAAATACTAACCCTTACCTATAAAGCTCTAACCAACTCTAGACCCTCTCACATTTCTTCACTGATTCATAGGTATGCCCCCTCTCAAACTCTCCGCTCTACTGGTGACCTTCTTCTGTCTGCTGCTCGCACCCTTACGGCAAATTCACGCCTCCAAGACTTCTCACGGGTAACTTCTTTCCTTTGGAACAGCCTGCCTACCCCTGTCAAACTCTCCCCTAGTCTTCAATCCTTTAAGAAGTCCCTCAAAATCCATCCTTTCATGAATGCTTATGGCCTCCAAGAGTAACTTCTATCTCCCAAACCTTCCTTTCACTCACTCCACTCTCACCTCCAGTTGTGCTACTTTCCCACCATGTCTATATGCTGTCTCCCTCAATACCCTTCCTATTGCATTTGTATACCCCACCTCATCTAAGTTGTAAGCTCGTTTGAGCAGGGTCCGCAACTAACTATTGTTCCTGTTACATTTTGTTATTGTCTTATTTGGTGAATTCTTCTTTTATTGTAAAGCGCTGCGGAATAAATACTAATACAATAATAATAATAATAATCATTTACGTGTTTGGATAATTTCTGCCCACTAGATGGTGCTGTTTT